TAATTAAAATCACACTGAGATTTCATCTTACTCCTGAAAGAATCAAGAAAACTATCAACAACAAATGCTGAAGAGGCTGTGGGGAAAAAAGAACTCTCATGCACTGTTGGTGGGAGTGTAGACTGGTACAACCTTTGTGGAGGTCAGTCTGGAGATTTCTCAAAAAGCTGGGACAGAATTATGATCAACCAATAAGATTACAAGTATAATTACTCAGGTAAGATTGATTAAATCAGGATCCAATTAGGGGAGTGAGTCATGTAGCAAGTGGGAACAGGACCTTTGCCTATATAGGGGGTTGGATTAGTGGCTTTTTCTCCTTTCCTCAAGGTGAACAAGGTGTGGAGGTAGTATCTGTTTAGATTGTCGGTCCCTGATGTTTATGGTTGGGGTGTGGGTGAATTTGCTTTATCTTTTGTTTTTTGGTCTGGCTCACAGTGGGAGGTGTCTGTCTCTTCCAAGGTTGCAAAATATCTTGTCTTCTGCACTGGCTCCTTCGAGGGCCCTATCTGTCTGCCTATATTTTTGCCTAACTCGGCTGCCCATAACAGTGGAAGATTTGGGATTTTTTTGAATCATGGCTTCTTCAACCAATTGGATTAATGGAATCCCCACTTCTGCCAGTGAGTTAACTATGGTGGTGTCTTTCCCTCCTTTTACTCAACCTTCCTGCCCTTCTGCTTTTCTTCCTGTGATGATGTAGCATAAGGTCCTGACCAGAGGCCAAAGGGATGCCAGTGTGTGGTTTTGTACTTCCAGACCACTGAGCCATGCAACCCAGTCTTAGATATTCTGCTAAGGCAACAGAAAAGAATTCAGACAGGTGGGCAAGGTATGGATCACTAAGATATTCATAGGACAGAGTAAGATGTTATAACTGTATTTGTCCAATATGTAAGTAGGAAGCCAGTGGAAAATTTTAACCATAAAAGAGCCACGATGTGATGATTAGGATATGAGAATGAGGCAAGACAGGAGAAATAAGATAGGTTGAAAAGAGACAAGAAAATTATAATTTAAAATCAGTATTTTTAAGAAAACTGTATTTCAGGACACAAATTTACCCAAAGTTATCCGTATCTCTACTCCTTTAGCTTGTTTATGCTTCTTTTCTCCTTGGTTTATTACACTATAAATTCCTTACGAGTATTACAAAGCCTAAGTTAGATTACTCGATAAGATAAATGGCAAGAAAATTGGCCTTAAAATAGAGAAGAAATTTAAAGATTTCAAAGAATAGTTGGAAGAAAACAAATCACCCATCTTAAAACTAATAATAATAGCAACTGTACAATCAACTAAGTAAGCCCATGCCTTTGCCCTGAAAAATGGGCTTTTACCTATGGAATGACTGAATATCTTTCTACCCATGGGTGTGCTACTCCTTCTCCTGTAAACCATTCTTTCTTCCTGTACATTCACAAATTCCACAAGTTTCTCCCACCATAAACATTCCCAGTTCTAGACTATAATATACCTTTTTTTAAAGGGCTTATACCCTATTTTCTTTAAGTGTACTCTTTTAAAAAATACCTATTTTTTAATTTTTTAAAATAAAAATTATTGTAAAACAACTTTATTTCTACTTCATAGTGATGAACAAAAACAAAACACAAAAGATTTAAAATATGAAGCAGTGATAAATCTCATCACAAGAGTATTAAAATATAAAGTAGTGATAAATCTCACCACAAAATTGTTAGATATTAGACCAGTGTTTGGAAAATTGTTATCCTTAAGTTATTCACCTTAAAATATATTTCTTGAAATCTTCAATTTCCCTGTAATGTTTTCTAGTTTTCTGTATATGGGTTATGTAAATTTTGTGGTGAGATTTATCAAAAACATCTCTTAAAAACTTACTGTCATTACCATAAGGAGATTGGTGGATTGATAAGGGGGAGCTAAAGAAAAGATAACATACTCAGGATTTATTTGTAGTTAGCAAGATTGTTACTTGTTACTGGGTCAGCGATGGAAGTGATGAAGGAGCTTAAAAGTTGAGAGGTAGTGCTATCTTTAAATGATTATTTGGGACAGGTATAGGAGGGCAGATATGTAAAATAAGCCATTACAGTTAAGAATTTGAATAAAGAGGCTGTCAGTTGACAATTAGAAGTTGGCTAGGGAGACATGAATTTGGGAGTGATTACTATTTCAAATTATGATTTTGGAGTGATTAACCTGAAAGAGCACAAAGAAGGAAGGTGTGAAAACCCTTTAACACACCGCTGTAGTAGAGAAGGAAAGACTTAAAAAAAAACCGAGCACTGGATAAGTATGGAGAAAGACCAGGAAGGCATCAAATCATGAAGCTAAGAAAAAAAATTCATTTGTGTTGAATGTATTGAAAGTCAGATAAGAAACACACTAGGAGAATTGCTGAATTAAGCCAATTGTGCCAATGAAGTACAAAAGAGGGATGATACACGAAGTGATTAAGGTGAGCGGTGGAATCTCAGTTAGGCACATGAGAAAAGAATGAACAGATGAGGAGTGTGAAAAATAGGGTGAAAAGAGAGATGAGGAGATGAGGAGGTGGCAGTTTGACGGCTCAGTGAAACTGACCTTAGATGTCAAGAGTGTGGATGTTAAAATAGATGAGCTAAAAGTGCTGGTAGCAGTGGGCACGCTTCAGATGAAGGTCTGGAGGTGGTGCGGTGAGTAACTGATGCTGCTGAGATCCGGGTCTGTCTGGTATTACAGGGGGAAGACTGTCCTGCCAGCACAGAGCCAGGCACGACCTTAAACACCTGGCGGTAGAGATACCGAGTTACCCATGTGTCAAGCCTGAGTATGAAGAAAGCCAATATGAAAGCTTTCAGTGATTTGCCCAAGAATAGTTATTTAGTGAGATGGGAGACTGAACCCAGGGCCTTCACAATGATCTGGATCCTCAGGTCTTTTTTAAAAAAATCTTTTATTTGAAATGAGGTCTCACAGAGTTGCAAAATTTTCCAGTCTGGGCTAAAACTCATGATCTTCCTCCTGTTTCAGCCTTTTGGAGTGCTGGGATGATAAGCATGAACCACACTGCCTGGGTTTTTCCACCCTTTTTTGACTTCCATTTTCAATTTTGCATCTCCTTAATGACATTTGTCTTTTTCTTTGCTTTTGTGTAATTTCTTTCTTCTTGTAGATTAGAAAATGAAAGCAATATTGTTCCCTCTTCTGTAAAAAGTGCATACTTTTAAACACCATTTTGCAGTGAATAAGAGAAAAAAGTGATGGGGGTGGTAGGGAGTTTCTGGATGACCAAGTACAGAACTGATTCATTAAGGGACAGCCTAGCTTTGAATAGACAGACCATAAAGAAAAAGGTTTATTTTGAAAACCATGTTTCAAAGAAATCATACACACACAATAAAGATATAGAAACCGTCAAAATTTATTTTCATAAAAGATTTTTCCATTCTTAAATAGTATAAAAATAGGTGTTTGTTTCAAAACATATTTGACATAAGTTAATTTAAATACACATTTGTTTGAGGCATGGAGACATTCACATACACAATCTGAATTCCAATCAGTTAGCAGGTTGATGTCAGTATTAATTAAGTTGTTTTCTTTCTTTCTTTGTCCAGGAATAGGATAAAAATGACAAAACCAGGCATGGTGGCTCACGCCTGTAATCCCAGCACTCAGGAGGCTGAGGTGAGTATATTACCAAGAGTTCAAGGCTAACTCTGGTTACACAGTGAGTTCAAGAAGCTTTTGCAATATTGACTATTTCTTTTTTTTAATATTGATTATTTCTTAACCTTAAATCTTCTAAATATAAAATCTTGAATAAAAAATTTCCTGAGTTATTTCTCTTTAGTGACTTAATACCTTTTCTTCCACTAAGAGACATACATTTTCAGTTATTTACACAAATATTGATGTTATCTGTGGTTAATGCTCCACCTAAAAATATTAAAACAGAATATTTTCTTAATAAATTATGGTTTAAAATAATCAACAAAGCATCCACAGGTCCTTAAAAAAATGAACAAAAGGTCAGCCTTTACGGCATATTCAGGTTAGACAACGTCTTCTGTGTCTAACATGTAGGTAAATCCTAAAGACATTAATTCTAACATTAAATATCTCAATATACCATAATTAGTTTTCTAAAATTTTAGTCACAAATCTTAATTCAATCATTTTTGATTGTACACATAATAATTTAAAGAGGTAATCATGAAATCTGACAAATCTGACATAAAATCTGACAAAAATTGAATCTGACATAATGAAAAAATGATTTCAGGCTTAAATATTTACAACAATGTCCTAATAAAACATAAATAAGAACCCTCAATAAATTATAGTTAGATACAGTACCATAAATTGTCAACTGACAATGAGATGCAGAAAACTGTCATCATCATTATTGCTCTGCTCTTATTATTGTTGCTCAGGACTACTCATTAATTGTTTGCTTTTGTTTTCAAATAAGAGAGGGCATTCATTAGAACAGAAGTATAACTTCCTTCCTGGCAAGTCTGAAGATCCTACAGCTCTTTTAAGGTACCAGCCTCTTTGTAGGGTCCTTGATCATATTATAGTTAAAGTTAATTATAAATGAAATTCTCTCCTTCACTTAAAATAGATGATTTTCTAAAAAGGAACTTTCTTTATTCCTCCTAAGAGGAGCTAAACAGTAGTCCTGAGCTGAGGTTTGCCTGGAAATGTACAAACATTCAAGTAAGAAAATATTAAGAGTTGAAGAAACTGATCAGGAGGCTTTCTTCTAAAAAAACAGTACAAGAAAAAAAAAAGGAGCAGCATGAAGATAATATGGTTTCATTTCAAATGCAACATTGAATTGGCTTATTTAGATAACATTAAAGTATGAAATGGATTGAAGCATTTTGAAGAGACTTTTGATAAGGCCATTTTTACTCTTTGTACTATGCTAGGGACATCTAATTCATACTGTTCATCAGTATGAAAATGGATCATTATCCAAGCACATCTCAGCCATTCATTAACTTTTTTTCTTCCTTTTATTTTTATTTTTGTGAGATGGGGGTCTCTTTATGTGGTCCAGAATGGCCTCAGCCTCCCAGATGCCGGGATTACAGGCCTATGTCACTATGTCTGGCAATTCATTAACTTCACAGCAAAATCTGGTAAGTGCCAGATATGATAGAGTCTCTTTCAAGTGTTTGAACCCAAGTTTAAACTTTAATTTGGTTACTTCTTTGTTTTTAGATAGTTTTTTGCTTTTATAGATTCTATTTATTAGTCGCACAAACTCTGGAATCTTTTTTATATAAAACATTCAAATTATTGCTTTGAGGCTGCTTTAAAAATTATAAAATAAGCTGGGCATGGTGGCTCACGCCTGTAATCCCAGCACTCGGAGGCTGAGGCAGGAGGATCGTTGCGAGTTCGAGACCAGCCTAGACTACAAAGTGAGCTCAAGGCCAGCCTGAAGTGCATAGAGAGACTCTGTCTCAAAAAGACAAAAAAAAAATTATAAAATATTGGCAGTGTATGCTTTTAACATTCATCACAATTAAATGCTCAACATTTCTTTAAAATTCCCCAACCTCAGTTGTTTCTAATGTGTTGGAGATAAAGACAGTGTAGTATGTGCAGCATTTTGCTCTTTTGTAACAGCATTTAAGTGTTCCAACATCTTGGCATTCATTCTATCACAATATATTACAAATTGAAATTCAAGTAAAAAGATGTCAAAATCACTTTCCATCAGTTTATACAAAAGTCTGAAAATATTTTCTACTTTAACTTGAAATAAATACACCTGTAAAGTAGTGTCACAGGAGTCCTCACAAGTCTGACTCTTTTCCCTGCAACAAATGTACTACCTTCTGTTACAGAAGATGTTAAGTAACACAAGGCACTTAATATAAATATTATTAAATAATAAGTTAAAAAGAATGGTTCTTATAAATAAATAAATATGCTCGACTGACTCCTACAGCTCCGTCGAACGTCCTTTTAGCAGTACAGTGGGGCTGAGGTCTTCCAGTCTGGAGTGGGAAGCACTCGCGTTAATGGTGACTGTTTTGGCAAGCTGCGGATCTGGGACATTAAACGCAGTGACAGGACAGCCCTTCACGTTATTGCAGATGAGAGACTGGATGGAGGCAGTGTTGACGATCTGAAAACCCACTTCTCCTCCAAAAGTACTCGGCTTCCAGTAGTGAGGTGAGCATATAGGGTTACCCATAAGTCCTTTCAAGGAGAATGGTGCTCCCATCTCCACCATGGTCTCCCCGAAAATAGCGTCTGGCCGAGGTTTTTCCACGAGAAGGGCGGGATACAGCTCCATCGCATCAATGTCACCGTAGAGGGCTTCCAATTCTGCAGCCATTTCCTTCTCACCTGGAAAGGTGATGAATACAGAAACACAACCATTGTAAGACTTTACAAAGAAACCATGCTCGCGTCTCCCCACTTGCTTTCAACTTCTCCAATGTCACCATTTGACCTCAGATTCTTTCAAGAAGTATAGACATTGATTCTCACCTGTAAGTTCTTCAAATGACGTATACGGTTTCATCAAGAAGCGTTTGCGGTATTCATTCAGAGATTGGTATTTCATCTTTCTGCTGTGCTCAATGGAAGCCTTTGCCACCCTTTGGACTGCAAGGGGAACATTCCTACCGCCAGCGACCTGTAGGAAATGAATGACAGTGTAAAGCAAGGTTCCTAGGCATATTCACTCCTGCTGTTTTAATATCATTGTCTACATACAAAGAAGATAAGAGACCTAAACTATTTTATTTGTTGAGCAGACTGCTTACAAATATGTCAGCAGGAGGCGTACTTAAGATTCAGTGGAACACTGGTCTACAAACAATTTGCTTTTTAAAATTATAAGAAGTCAGGCTGAAGTTCAAGTCTGAAATAAGTATTTCTATTAATTATACTATTTCTATTAAATATTATTTCTACAATGAGACTATATACATTTTTGAAAATACTCATTCTTAAGTTATATGGTTCATTATTTGCTTGACAACAATAAACTCTGACAGACTTTCCAAAAAGTTTGAGCCTTCTGGTTTCAAAAATAACTAAGCAAAATAATTGATTATTCTATTAGGACTCTAAGAAAAATAATTTCTGCAGTAGAAATTCTGAGTTAGTGACCAGCCTTCTGATTTACTTTTCAGTAATAATCCTTACCCTGCCAGCAATTTGCTTGGTGAATGATTCAACAAACTGGGTAAGTCCATGTTCTACTAATATAGAGTTGTTGTAGAGAAACTGTTGAAAGTTATAAACTTGGTCATCAATTTGAAAGGTGTCAGGCAGAAGGGGATGCCAGTGATACAGCGTGTTAAACTCGGAAGCAATGCGGTTCTGGTACTGGAATTGCTGGTTGAAAAGCAGCTCTGGGTCAAACTTCAGTTTGAAATGATACCCGCTCAAATGCTGTACATAGTCTTCAATCACTATCTTAATCGTTTCTCCTATGTGCACGGAAGAAAGAAAGAAAAACTTCAACTCTTTCTGATCATAAACCTTCAACCAATGCACATTCATTTGATGAATCATACCAGTGGAGAGGATTAAAATTAACAGTGTATTTTCTTATTCATAATTCTTTCCAATTTACTCAAAACAGTGAAAGTAGCACATTGGTTTTCTCTGGGGGAGAGGGTTTTACTTAAATTATTTTCTCTTCTCACCTATCAATATTAGCCGGCTTGTCTGGAACAGGCGTTCATCATCCCACTCTGGATGCTCCTGTTTAAGCACATCGCACACTCTGTTATGCTCCCGCAGCCAGATGGTGGCGTACATCATCAGGCCTGGCACCAGACCGAAGACCTCCTGGCCCACAGCAAAGCGTGCATGCTCGGGGATGTAGGGTGGGTACATCATCTCTACTTGAGTTTCTTTGACAGTGGGAGGGTACATCTCTCCATCAATTATCTAAAAAATAATAATATTCAACCATAACAAAATTTAAAAATGCCCTCTCACTGAAAATTCTGAAATTTCACTACAGTTGTTAAGTTATAACTAATTCTTAATAACTAAAGGGAACATACCTGGTATTTCATTTTTCCATCCTTGAAAAGGCGCAGTTTGTGCTGTCTATCTAGAGTTTCACCATAAATATGACTTAGGTCCACCTAGAAAAGTATGAAAAGTTTCAGTTTGTTGCTACTCAACAACCTGATAGAAAGTACCTTACATAATTATCATTAAATTATGGTGATTCTCCTTTCTTTAAAATTTTCAGTAAAACAATTTGCATAGCCACAAACTATTAAGGTTATCTAACAAAGCTACAAGCTCTTGGGTTTAAATGTATTCATATCCCATATAACCGTTGTGTTTCAGTGTACTCATATCCCATATAGCTATATCTATTTCACTATAATCATATGGTATTTGTTAAAAAACCATTAGGCAGTGTGGTGATACAATCCTGTAATTCCAGCACTCAGAAACTAAAGCAAGAGAATCACAGTAACTTTGAGGCCAACTGAGCTACACAGTGAGTTCAAGGCCAGCCTGAATAACATAGTGAGACCCAAAACTAAAAACCAACAAAAGTATTAAAGGTTGATTATTGATTTCAGTTATAAATTGAAGCTATGTTATTGAAATCTAAGAAATAGTAATGCAAAACTCTCACATTTAAAGCCCCCTCATCACTGTACAGATGTTTTAGAAGCGTTAATATTTTGCAGTGCTAAAGTTTTTTTTAAAAAAAGTAAAAAGTTACAAATAAAAGAATATGTAAGTATATATTTATATGTATATGTTTTTGTTAAACCAGTAAATTAAGGAAAACTTACTGTAATATATATTTATTTATTTATTGGTCTTTTTGAGATAGGGTCTCCCTAAAGAGTCCAAGCTGGCCTTGAACTCCTGTGTAGCCTAGGCTGGCCTTGAACTAGAGGCAATTCTCCTCCTACCTCAAGCTCCCAAGGGCTGAGATTTAGAGGTGTGTGCCACCACGCCAAGCCTTAAGGTTTTATAGACTCATTTTTTTTGTAATGAGTAAAATTATTTGGTAGGGAAAAAATTGAGCATTTCAGTATGATTTAACTGAGTTAATTTACAATTCTGATTTAACCCTGACTTACCCCATGGGCCAGTCCCGTGGTGAAAGCTGGTCCCCGTTTTTGATCTGACTTGAAAAACTGATGAGTAAAATGCTGGGCAAAGAAAGCGAACATCATATTTGTGCCTTGGGGATCAGGGATGAACTTCCTTCTTAGAAGAACTTTTTCCAGAACCTCATTTGAATCAGGAAGCTCCTTCTTCCCTGAAAAATGAGAAGGCTAAGGTAAAATTCCATCTGTCCACTCAAGAAAGCAAGTAGTGGTGTTCATCACTTACAAGGTGAATGCACCCCAAAGAGGACCCTGAGATAAATGTCCTGTAATAGCTGGGGACCCTGGCTTATTAAATGGTTTTATTTACTTTATCCAACACTACTTCATGTTTAATGAGCTACTTTTGTGAAATAGTGTGTATATATTTGCATTTGTGAATATTCATAACAAAGGGAAAAACACCTATGCTGTTGTTAACAAATCAAGGGTAGTTTAAAGTCAAATTTTCTTCCAGGAAGGATTTTGACAGGGCTAACCCTTTCCTCACTCACCTTTCACACCCATGGGAGTGGGGCAGTCATCCGCCACGGGAGGAAGCGCTCTGGTGTAGTAGGAGAGGTTAGAGAAGGCTTCCCAGCTTTTGTAGCCATAATGCGCATTGTAAGTTGGTGGACTGTCGATCAGATGAGATCTGGCTGAAATTTCCAAGGAAAAAATCGTTTTATTGGTCCTTCTATGCAACATAAATCATTGTGCATTTTTGATTGTAAAATATGCCAAATGGCACAAATATTGAATTTAATTCCAACAAACATACTCTTTCAGCCAAGTGTGGTGGGGCACACCTGTAACTTCAACAATGGGTAAGCTGAGAAAGGAGGATCACCAGTTCAAGGACAGCCTGCCTGTGCTACATAGCAAATTAGGGCTGGCCTGGGCTACTAGTGAGACCCTGTCTCAGAAAACCAAAAATAAGAAAACAAAAACCGAAAGATGTTCTATTTCAAAGGGACTACACATAAAAGTGTAGCTGCTACTGAAAACTCATCCTCAATACAAAACACATTGCTTCACACAGCACACGATGCTCCAGCAAACTTGACTTTTCAGATACCACTCACTCGTTGCCCTAGAGGCTACACACAGTCATTTCTTGCTTCTTAAACCCAAATTAAACATTTAGAAGGTCACTGGGTGTATGTTGAACCCCAGCCCTCTGGAAAGCTCAAACAGGAGGATTTCAAATTCTAGCACAACCTAGACAATTTGACAAGACCTTGTCTTTAAAAAAATTTAAAATTAATTAAATAAAGACAGCTGGAGATGTAGCTTCTTAGTGGACCACATTTCCTTCTCAAATTGGCCACAACTCTGATGACTGGAACTTTATCTGACCACAAGATAGAACTATAAAAATTAGGTAAAACTAAATGTCAATATTTTTGACCTTAAAGATAGACAGCGCACTAAAAACGGCATATTAAAAGTCATTTTGATAAGGTGAGATATATCTTTTTGGAGGCTAGGTGAGCCTATAATTCCAGGACTGGGGAGGCGGAGGTAGAATCACCCAGTGTTGGAGGCCAGCCTGGGTTACATAGTGAGTTCAGCACCAGCTTGAACTACGTTTATAGCGAGACCCTGTTACAAATAACAAAAAAAGGGGCAAAAAAGAAAAAGAAAAATATCTTTTTGGATCAGTAATTTACAGTATTATGAAGCACATTTTTCTTCAAAGAAACTGAAAACCTCGGAGAAAGACTTGTACTTACACGTCAACACATATTTCATGATTGCATTGCGCAGGAAGGGAATGTTATTGACGATGTTCCAGACTCCTTTGAAGTGGGTCAGTATATAGTGCACCGTGTTGGGGGTGGGCTTCAGCAGTAATTTTATTCTTGTTAGAAATTCAGCTGGAAGAAAAGCGGGAAAAAATAAGTGAACAGGGCTTATCACGAAGGTATCTCTACAAATGCAAGTGTAGCCCATCCCAAAGGAGGAAACCCGAGAGCACACTTACGTGTGGTACAGTTTTCACCGTAATAGCCTGTCCGGGTGCAGTCGCACTTGTACCGGTCAAATCCTACACTCAGACATTCCCCTCGGTTTTGACACGGGTTGGAACAGCAAGGATTGGCTACAATAAAAGCACGGCGCATAAGTCATTATTCAGTGTCTGGAACTTGGCATAGCACATTTGATTGTTTTACTAACTATGCGTCAATCATGGAGAAAGGACTAGAGTTTTTGAAGCTCTAGTTACAGGATGTTTAAACTGTAAAAATAACAATTTCCTGCTCTGAAGTAAGAGTAACGGAATTTTCAACCTGGCAATTGCACATTAAGGCTGTTTAAGTAAGTAGCACTTTCAAAATGCAAACAGGTGAGTCTAGAACGTTAATCAAAATGTAAGAAAAACTTCCAAGTAAAATTAGTTTACTTTAAAAATCTTTTCTTAGCTTTAAAAAGTAACCTGGATTTTCTCAGGGCAGGAACGCTCTGACTGAGACATTTAAAACAATGCATCCCTATTCAATAACAATAGGTACCACACTCGAACATCACACATATTGATCAGATCCTGTCTTATACCATAACCTGAAAATCAGCACTATCCCGTTAGCAGGAGAGAGTAAATCCTAGGCCCGTGAAACGAGGGTCCAGGACCCCGAAGTAGAATGAGCTTCCAGTTCTTTGGGGCTCAAGTGGTCCAGGAGCTTTGCTAATGCACGCAGCCCTGCTCCCGGAGAGCAGAGAGCGCGGGAGGGCGCGCCGGTGCAGGCGTCCGCGGAGGGCGCGCGGTGCCCGAGCCTCACCTGCCTGGCCGAGAGCCAGCGCTGCGCAGAGCAGCAGCGCGCGGGCGAGCATCGCGGCGGGCGGAGGCGGCGCGGCTGCCGGTGTCACTGCAGGGCGGGCGGCGAGGCGGCTCCGAGCTCCTGGGCGTGCTCCTGACTCTCGCACCAAGTTTGACAACTGGAGGAAAACCCAGAGAACCTTCCTTTTATGCTTGAAATTCAAGCCCACGTGGTCATGACTGTTCCTGGATTCCGCCTTCTCTTAACCCTCCCCCCTCCCCATACAATTTTTCCCCTTCTCCACTCAAAAAAAGTTGCGTAAGCCTGAGTCGGGACAGGATTCTTTTTCTTTCCTCTTTCCCGCCCACACAAATGAGAACACTGGAAACCCGGGAAGCTGCGCGCGGCTGCCCCAAGGTGGGCGCAGAGCGAACTGCCCGCCTCTCTGGCCGTAAGCGTCTCCCTCTGGCGCAGGCCTCCGGCTCGGCTCGGGCGCGCAGGGCCGCCACATTCCTCGGCTTGCCCGGGCCGGGCCGGCGCTGCGGGAGCCGGGCGGGGCGAGCGCCGGACCTGCGCTCCGGGAACTGGGCAGGCAGGGAATCCCCTCGCGTGCGACGCCTCCGGGCCGGGCTACGTCTGCGGCGGGTGGCGACGAAGTCACAGCCGGGACAAGTCGAGCGAGAAAGTGACGACGGGGCGCCGGGGTCATGTTTGTTTTGGGACGTAGATAGGCGCGCGCACACACGTATCTTTTCGTTTTTATATTTTCTCGAATGAAATGTAATATAGCTATGTTATGTCCACGTTTGTAATTTGCACCTAAGTTACTTTTACCAAAAGAGCGTTGTTCTCTGCACGCCTCCCTCCGGGCTGCTTGGAGGGGCTGTGAGCTCTGCGCGGCGCGGCTACGGCGCCCGCGCCCGCAATCCTGTCTGGTGGCACAGTGAACCGGAGCAGGGGCTCCCCGAGTGTGCACGAATGCTAGCTCCAAAACACTTATTTTAATATATTATTTTCTCCTCTGCTGCACGAATTTCCCCAATTTTGGTAGCTAGGGATATCAATAAAAGCAATTAGATTTTTAAAATTTACTTTTTAATCTGCTTTTCTAAAATGATGAATTGTGACAACGGATCAAAGTACAGCATTGCGTTTCCTTTTCCATTGTTTGAATTTATTAAGCCTGAATTTTAACAAGAGGAGAAAAAAAATCTGTTATCTGCATTCTTAGCACAAACCAAAAGAAAGACGTAAACCTGAAATTGAAATTACACCAAATGCCTCAATTTGTAATTTTGTGGAAGTCTTACAGGAAACAAACAAACAAAAAAAACCCACATGGAAATTTTTTTTATCATTTTGCACCGAGTTCACATTATTGGATGCTACATGAGACACCCATGACTAAATTTCCATCTCATCTAGGAAGCTTTGTCTTTTTCTAGTCACGTTTAATCATTGCATTTGGGGCACTCCCTTTTATTGCACTGATTTTATCTGGAATTTCAACTTGACATTTTCTTTTTAATAATCCCAACATTCTGCTTTACTTTGAGTAGGTTACATCTACTCAAATTTTACGTTTAGCATATTAAAGCCACTAGTTCTAACTTGAGATAGATGCCACATGAGAATCTGTATCCTGAACTTTACAATTTACATTGCAATGCTGAACTGAGTTTTGTTTTCTTTTAAGACAGGGTGTTTCCTTGAGCTCTCAAATCTGCCTCAGCCTCTTGAATAGTTGAACTGACTTTGAAGCCATCATTCGTCTTGCCCTCATCAGACACATTAGTTAGACTGTTTTATGTGTGCTCTGCTGTTGTTTGTAAAGCGACTATGAATTCAAGGGTAGGGGAAAAACCAGGAGAATCACATTTAGATTATTTGGTATTTAAAGAATTTAAGTATCAGTGAAAATTCATTTAAAAACACCTACTTGGTTAAATGGTTTGATTCAACCTGTAACCTCAATAGGAAAACCAAGTGAAGAGTTTCATCTATCTGTTACATCAGAAGAGGATTCAAAGAGCAGCTGAGACTTGAAGGATGAGGTCAGTTTTGACAGGAAATCCAAATATGGGCTTAAGGAGCAAAGCATTGTTACACAATTTATTAAAGGTTTGATAAGGTTGAGATGATAAAATAAAATGAAGAGGTACATTCTGAGACGCCAATAACAGTGGGATTTAAATGAATAAACCTATTTTATTTGGAAAAATGCATGATTATAAAAAATGATAGTTTTGACTGTATAAAATTCTAGCTTTCAATTTCATACATCTGTGTGTATTTTAGGCCTATGTGTGTCCCTTCTGTAGATTTTCTTTTGTTACACTCTGAAATTCGTTGGGAAATTCTGTATGAAGAGCAAATAAAGAAGAATATTAAAATTTTCCAGAGCATTCTGTTGAGCTTTACTGCCCCCTTCTGCTGCTTAGATTTTTATCAATTCTTTTTTCTCTAAGATGCTGGGAAGACTGTGAGACCGATTTTGTGGCTAATATCATAATGTTCCTAAAAATACACATGTGCAGTGTTCATTTTAGATTTAACTTTCATGAGCATACTGAAAAGCACCTGAAATTTATTTATGCTGCAGTGTCATTCATAGTAAGTTAAGAAAAAAATAATTTCAGACAGATTGGATTTTAGGCCAAGAAAAATTATGAGGAATAAAAGGGAACATTGTATATGATGAAGAATGGACTCTCCAAGAAGATATAACAATCCTTATGTATACTGCCAAACTGTAAAAGCCACCTAAATATGAAACAAAATTGATAAAACTATAAGGAGAAATAGATCAAGAATACTTCAATACATCTGTCTCCGAGATGCACAGATTTGTGGGGATGGTGATGCAAGCCTCTTCTCCCAGTACTCTGGGAGTGTGAAGCAATCAGGTCTAGCCTTGGGAACTAAGTGAGCATCTGTCTCTGGGAAAAAAAAAAAAAAGCCTGGAGGGAGGCTGGGATGTAGCTCAGTGAAGGCCTTAGGTTCAACTCCCCCTGATAAAAAGACAGAAAGTAGGACATAGCCATTAGGCAGAAAATTATTAAAGACATATCTGGACTCCAGAGTGCTGTAAGTCAACTGATCATAATTGACATCTCTGCGCTGTTTTAGCTTAAAACAATAGAACACATTCCTTTTCAAGTTACAGGAGTTTACATCAAGATAAATCATATTCAGGGTCATAAAACCCACCTGAATACATTAAAAAAGGAAAGAAATACAATGTATATTTCCAAGCCACGAGAGAGTTAAAGAAAAACTGAATAACAGAAGGACAGTTGGAAAATCCCCAAATATCTGAAGATCACATAGCATACTTTTGGGTCAAACAGGAATCTCAAAGGAAATTAAAAAATATTTTTGAACTAAGGGTTTGCACCTGCTGCACTCTCCGTGCCTTTCTAATGCCAGCACCTCTCCCCCAGCTGCAGCAGAAGGAGAAGGGGGTTAGTAAACAGGTCTCCATATTGGCCTCCTGAAAAATGGAATGCACGCGCATCCATCTTTGCTAAAAAATATCCTGGACACGACTGGCTACAAAAGCGGCTGGTAAGAGCGCGCTTTCTACTGGAAGGGTGAAGAAACTTCATCCTTACAGGCCCTGGACTGGAATTAAGATGTTATCAAAAGTCCACTGATCTTTTGATCCGCATGCTCCATTTCCAGCATCTGGTGTGAAAAATTGCTCAAGACTTCAAAACAGGTCTTTGCTTTCAGAGTCCAGCTGTTGATGCTTTGTAGGAGGAAAGTGAGGCCTGTCTGGTGGGCCTCTGAAGATACCAACCTCCGACCCCTGGGTGCTATCCCTGCCAAACATGCAACAATTACGCCAGAAGATAACCAGCTAGCACATGCCCACATGGTGAGCCTGCTGAAGAACCCACTAGAAGACCATTTCATTTGCAGATTTTTCCTCTTCTTCCTGTTATTGATAGGTCTGAACATTAGATATATTTTTCCTCCAAGGAGTAAAAAAGTATCTAAGTACAGGAAAGTAAGAACAGAAATCAGGCATTGGTAGTTTTTCCATTTTCATTTATGTGTGAAAAATGGGTTTTAATGCAGGAATGTAAAACATTAGTACAAGTCAAAATGTTTCAGTGAAAAAGTTTCACAGCTCAATTTTATAACAATTATAGATTAACCTGTTAATTTTTGTGGATAATGCCACATTTAGATTTTTTTAAACAAATAAACTTTATATTGATGGAAACTAAATGGTGTTTGCAGCATTTTTATCATATGTTAGATTCCATACATTCACTATACATTACTGAGATGTTCTATATGCTGGTCCATGTTTCTACTGTTACCTGCCTTGGGTGCTATTCCTGTAAGTTTGATATTTTAAAATGTTAAACTATAAAGAATTTTTTTTTTGTCCTTTTGACACAGAGTCTCTCTATGCAGTTCAGGCTGGCCTTGAGCTCATTTTGTGGCCCAGGCTGACCTTGAACTCACAAAGATCTTCCTGCCTCAGGCTTCCGAGTGCTGGGATTACAGATGTGTGCCACCATGCCCAGCTCTATAAAGAAAATAGTGAAACAAATGGAAAATACAATTTAAATTTGTAGAATGAGATAAAAGTGATGCTTAGAAATTTACAGCATTGTGATAAGAAAAGAAAAGCTATCTAAAATTCATTCTCTAGTTAAAAGAAACAGCAATTAAATTCAAAATAAAGAGAAAAATAATAAAATTTAGGGCAAATATTATTGAAATTGAGAACATAAAATCTGCAAAACCTGAAATCTGCAAAAACTCATATATGAAGTAAACAATAGGCATATAGTTGTTAAAGAAATTGTATCAGTAATTAATAACCTTATCACCAGGCCCAAATGGGCTCACTTGTGAATTCTTCTAAACATTTAAAGAACATATTATATCAATTCTTTATAATCTTTTTCAGAGGTCAGAGGAAGACGTAATGCTTCCTAATTTATTTTCTGAGGCCAGCAATTCCTTAATGTCAAAACTAAAGGCATGCAAGAAAACTACAGATCAATATCTATCATCAGTATAGAGGCAAAACTATTCAACAAAATATTAGTAAGTCAAGCCAAACA